CTGAGAAACAAGAAATCAGCCTTGCATTGTGCAACAAGAAATCAGCCTTACACTATGCAACAAGAAATCGGTCTTTCACTGGGCAACAAGAAATCAGCCTTAAACTGGGCAACAAGAAATCGGCCTTACACTGGGCAACAAGAAATCGGCCTTTGACTGAGCAACAAGAAATCGGCCTTACACTAGGCAACAAGAAATCGGCCATTCACTGGGCAACAAGAAATCGGCCTTACACTGGGCAAGAAGAAATGAGCCTTACATTGGGCAACAAGAAATTGGCCTTTGCCTGAAGAACAAGAAATCGGGTTTACACTAGGCAACAAGAAATCGGCCTTACACTGGGCAACATGAAATCGGTCTTTCACTGGGCAACAAGAAATAAGCCTTACACAGGGCAACAAGAAATCGGCCTTACACTGGGCAACAAGAAATCAGCCTTGCACTATGCAACAAGAAATCGGTATTTCACTGGGTAACAAGAAATCAGCCTTGCACTGCGCAACAAGAAATCAGCCTTACACTATGCAACAAGAAATCGGTCTTTCACTGGACAACAAGAAATCAGCCTTAAACTGGGCCACAAGAAATCAGCCTTACACTATGCAACAAGGAATCGGTCTTTCACTGGTCAAAAAGAAATCAGCCTTAAACTGGGCAACAAGAAATCGGCCTTTCACTGGGCAACGAGAAATCGGACTTTAAATGAGAAAAATAGAAATCTGCCTTACACTGGGCAACAAGAAATCGGTTTTACACTGGGCAACAAGAAATCGGCCTTTGACTGAACAGCAAGAAATCAGCCTTTCACTGGGCAACAAGAAATCAGCCTTACACTGGGCAACAAGAAATCGGTCTTTCACTGGGCAACAAGAAATCGGAATTGCAGTGGGCAACAAGAAATCAGCCATACACTGGGCAACAAGAAATCGGCCTTTGACTGAACAACAAGAAATCGACCTTACACTAGGCAACAAGAAATCGGCCTTACACTGGGCAAAAAAAAATCAGCCTTACACTGTGCAACAAGAAATCAGCCTTACACTATGCAACAAGAAATCGGTCTTTCACTGGGCAACAAGAAATCGAACATTTGACTGAAAAACAAGAAGTCGGCCTTACACTGGGCAACAAGAAATCGGCCTTTCACTGCGCAACGAGAAATCAGCCTTTCAATGAGAAACAAGAAATCAGCCTTTCAAGGGGCAACAAGAAATCGGCCTTACACTGGGCAACAAGAAATCGGTCTGTCAATGGGTAACAAGAAATCGGCCTAACACTGGGCAACAAGAAATCGGTCGTTCACTGGAGAAAAAGAAATCGGCCTTTCACTGGGCAACAAGAAATCAGCCTTACACTGGGCAACAAGAAATCGGTCTGTCACTGGACAAAAAGAAATCGGCCTTTCGCTGGGCAACAAGAAATCAGCCTTACACTGGGCAACAAGAAATCGGTCTTTCACTGGGCAACAAGAAATCGGCCTTACACTGGGCAACAAGAAATCAGCCTTACACTGGGCAAAAAGAAACCGGCCATTGACTGAACAACAAGAAATCGGGTTTACACTAGGCAACAAGAAATCGGTCTTTTACTGGGCAACAAGAAATCAGTCTTTCACTGGGCAACGAGAAATCAGTCTTTCAATGAGAAACAAGAAATTAGCCTTTCAAGGGGCAACAAGAAATCGGCCTTACACTGGGCAACAAGGAATCGGTCTTTCACTGGGCAACAGGAAATCGGCCCAACACTGGGCAACAAGAAATCGGTCTTTCACTGGACAAAAAGTAATCGGAATTTCACTGGGCAACAAGAAATCAGCCTTGGGCTGAACAACAAGAAATAAGTCTTACACTGGGCAACAAGAAATCGGTCTTTCACTGTGCAAAAAGAAATCGGCCTTTCACTGTGCAAAAAGAAATCGGCCTCCCAGTGGGCAACAAGAAATCAGCCTTACACTGGGCAACAAGAAATCGTCCTTTGACTGAAAAACAAGAAACAGGCCTTACACTGGGCTACAAGTGATCGGTCTTTCACTGGACAAAAAGTAATCGGCCTTACACTGGGCAATAAGAAATCAGCCTTAAACTGGGCAACAAGAAATCGGTCTTTCACTGGACAAAAAGAAATCGGCCTTTCAATGGGCAACAAGAAATCAGCCTTACACTGGGCAACAAGAAATCGGTCTTTCACTGGGCGACAATAAATCAGCCTTACATTGGGCAACACTAAATCAGCCTTACATTGGGCAACAAGAAATAGGCCTTTGACTGAACAACAAGAAATCGGGCTTACACTAGGCAACAAGAAATCGGCCTTACACTGGGCAACAAGAAATCAGCCTTACACTATGCAAAAGAAATCGTTCTTTCAATGGGTTACAAGAAATCGGCCTTTGACTGAACAACAAGAAATCGGCCTTACACTAGGCAGCAAGAAATCGGCATTTTACTGGGCAACGAGAAATCTGCCTTTCACTGAGAAACAAGAAATCAGCCTTGCATTGTGCAACAAGAAATCAGCCTTACACTATGCAACAAGAAATCGGTCTTTCACTGGGCAACAAGAAATCAGCCTTAAACTGGGCAACAAGAAATCGGCCTTACACTGGGCAACAAGAAATCGGCCTTTGACTGAGCAAAAAGAAATCGGCCTTACACTAGGCAACAAGAAATCGGCCATTCACTGGGCAACAGGAAATCGGCCTTACACTGGGCAAGAAGAAATGAGCCTTACATTGGGCAACAAGAAATTGGCATTTGCCTGAAGAACAAGAAATCGGGTTTACACTAGGCAACAAGAAATCGGCCTTACACTGGGCAACATGAAATCGGTCTTTCACTGGGCAACAAGAAATAAGCCTTACACAGGGCAACAAGAAATCGGCCTTACACTGGGCAACAAGAAATCAGCCTTGCACTATGCAACAAGAAATCGGTATTTCACTGGGTAACAAGAAATCAGAATTGCACTGCGCAACAAGAAATCAGCCTTACACTATGCAACAAGAAATCGGTCTTTCACTGGACAACAAGAAATCAGCCTTAAACTGGGCAACAAGAAATCGGCGTTGCACTGTGCAACAAGAAATCAGCCTTAAACTGGGCCACAAGAAATCAGCCTTACACTATGCAACAAGGAATCGGTCTTTCACTGGTCAAAAAGAAATCAGACTTAAACTGGGCAACAAGAAATCGGCCTTTCAATGGGCAACGAGAAATTGGCCTTTAAATGAGAAAACAAGAAATCTGCCTTACACTGGGCAACAAGAAATCGGTTTTACACTGGGCAACAAGAAATCGGCCTTTGAGTGAACAGCAAGAAATCAGCCTTTCACTGGGCAACGAGAAATCAGCCTTACACTCATCTATAAGAAATCGGCCTTACACTGGGCTATAAGAAATCGTCCTAACACTGGGCAACAAGATATCAGCCTTACACTGGTCTATGAGAAATCTGCCTTACATTATGCAACACGAAATCGGTCTATCACGGGGCAACAAGATATCGCCATTTCACGGGGCAACAAGAAATCAGCCTTACACTGGGCTATAAGAAATCGGCCTTACACTTGGCTATAAGAAACCGGCCTCAAATTGGGCAACAAGAAAACGACCTTACACTGCGCTATAAGAAATCGGCATTACACTGGGCAACAAGAAATCGGCCTTAAACTGGGCAACAAGAAATCGGCTTTACACTTGGCTATAAGAAATCAGCCTTACACTGGGCTATAAGAAATCGGCCTTACACTATGCAACAAGAAATCGGTCTTTCACTGGGAAACATGAAATCAGCCTTACAGTCTGCAACAAGAAATCGGTCTTTCACGGGGAAACAAGAAATCAGCCTTACACTGGGCTATAAGAAATCGGCCTTTCACTGGGCAATAAGAAATCGGCCTTAAACTGGGCAACAAGAAATCAGCCTTAAACTGGGCAACAAGAAAAACCCCTTTCAGGAGCAACAAGAATCGGCCTTTCACGGGGCACAAGAAATAGGCCTTTCACTGGACAACAAGAAATCGGCCTTACATTGGGCATCAGAAATCAGCCTTACACTGGGCAAAAAGAAATCAGCCTTACACTATGCAACAAGAAATCGGTCTTTCACTGGGCAACAAGAAATCGCCTTTAACGGGGCAACAAGTAATCGGCCTTTCACGAGGCAACAAGAAATCGGCCTTACACTGGGCAACAAGTAATCGGTCTTTCACTGGGCTACAAGAAATTGCCATCTCACGGGGCAGCAAGAAATCGCCCTTTCACGGGGCAACAAGAAATCGCCCTTTCACGTGGCAACAAGAAATAGGTCTTACACTGGGCAACAAGAAATCAGCCTTACACTGGGCTATAAGAAATCAGCCTTACACTGGGCTATGAGAAATCTGCCTTACATTATGCAACACGAAATCGGTCTTTCACGGGGCAACAAGATATCGCCATTTCACGGGGCAACAAGAAATCAGCCTTACACTGGGCTATAAGAAATCGGCCTTACACTGAGCAACAAAAAATCAGCCTTACACTGGGCTATAAGAAATCGGCCTTACACTTGGCTATAAGTAATCAGCCTTACACTGGACTATAAGAAATCGGCCTTACACTGGGCAACAAGCAATCGGTCTTACACTGGGCAACAAGAAATCGGCCTGACACTTGGCTATAGAAAATCGGCTTTACACTGGGCTATAAGAAATCGGCCTTACACTGGGCAACAAGAAATCGGCCTTAAACTGATCTATAAGAAATTGTCCTTACACTGGGCTATAAGAAATCGGCCTTACACTGGGCAACAAGAAATCAGCATTACACTGGGCTATAAGCAATCAGCCTTACACTGGGCTATAAGCAATCCGCCCTAAACTGGGGAACAAGAAATCGGCCTTACATTGGGCAACAAGAAATCAGCCTTACAATGGGCAACAAGAAATCAGCCTTACAATATGCAACCAGAAATCGGTATTTCACGGGGCAACAAGAAATAGCCCTTTCACGGGGCAACAAGAAATCAGCCTTACACTGGGCTAAAAGAAATCTGCCTTACAAGGGGCTATAAGACATCGGCCTTACACTGGGCAACAAGAAATCAGCCTTACACTGGGCTATAAGAAATCGGCCTTACACTTGGCTATAAGAAACCGGCCTCACATTGGGCAACAAGAAAACGACCTTACACTGGGCTTTAAGAAATCGGCCTCACACTGGGCAACAAGAAATCGGCCTTACACTGACCTTTAAGAAATTGGCCTTGCACTGACCTTTAAGAAATTGGCCTTACACTGGGCAATTAGAAATCGGTCTTACACTGGGCAACAAGAAATCGGCCTTACACTGGTCTATAAGAAATTGGCCTCACACTTGGCTCTAAGAAATCGGCCTTACTCTTGCCTATAGGAAATCGGCCTTACACTGGGCAACAAGAAATCGGCCTTACACTGGGCAACAAGAAATCAGCATTAGACTGGACATCAAGAAATCAGCCTTACACTGAGCAACAAAAAATCGGCCTTACATTGGGCCACAAGAAATCAGCCTTACACTGGGCCACAAGAAATCAGCCTTACATTGGGCTATAAGAAATCCGCCTAACACTGGGCAACAAGAAATCGGCCTTACATTGGGCAACAAGAAATCAGCCTTATACTGGGCATCAAGAAACCAGCCTTATACTATGCAACAAGAAATCGGTCTTTCGCAGGGCAACAAGAAATCGCCCTTTCACGGGGCAAAAAAAATCAGCCTTACACTGGGCTATACGAAATCGGCCTTACACGTTGCTATAAGAAATCGGCTTTACACTGGGCAATAAGAAATCAGCCTTACACTGGGCTATAAGAAATCGGGCTTACACTGGGCAACAAGAAATCGGCCTTACACTTGGCTATAAGAAATCAGCCTTACACTGGGCTATAAGAAATCGGCCTTACACTATGCAACAAGAAATCGGTCTTTCACTGGAAAACAAGAAATCAGCCTTACAGTATGCAACAAGAAATCGGTCTTTCACGGGGCAACAAGAAATCGCCCTTTCTCGGGGCAACAAGAAATCAGCCTTACACTGGGCTATAAGAAATCGGCCTTACACTGGGCTATAAGAAATCGGCCTTACACGGGCTATAAGAAATCGGCCTTACACTGGGCAACAAGAAGTCAGCCTTACACTGGGCTATAAGAAATCGGCTTTACACTTGGCTATAAGAAATCGGACTTACACTGGGCCACAAGAAATCAGACTTACACTGAGCAACAAGAAATCGGCCTTCCATTGGGCAACAAGAAATCAGCCTTCCACTGGGCCTTACACTATGCAACAAGAAATCCGTCTTTCACTGGGCAACAAGAAATCGCCCTTTCACGGGGCAACAAGAAATCGGCCTTACACTGGTCAACAAGAAATCGGCCTTACACTGGGCCACAAGAAATCAGCCTTACACTGGGCCACAAGAAATCAGCCTTACACTATGCAACAGAAATCGACCTTACACTGTGCAACAAGATATCGCCCTTTCACTGGTCAACAAAAAATCGGTTTACACTGGGCAACAAGAAATCAGCCTTACACTGGGCTATAAGAAATCGGCCTTACACTTGGCTATAAGAAATCGGCCTCACACTGGGCAAATAGAAATCGGTCTTACACTGGGCAACAAGAAATCGGTCTTACACTGGTCTATAAGAAATTGGCCTCACACTTGGCTATAAGAAATCGGCCTCACACTGGGCAACAAGAAATCGGCCTTACACTGGGCTATAAGAAATCGGCCTTACTCTTGGCTATAGGAAATCGGCCTTACACTGGGCAACAAGAAATCGGCCTTACACTGGGCAACAAGAAATCAGCATTACACTGGACATCAAGAAATCAGCCTTACACTGAGCAACAAAAAATCGGCCTTACATTGGGCCACAAGAAATCAGCCTTACACTGGGCCACAAGAAATCAGCCTTACACTATGCAACGAGAAATCGGCCTTACACTGGGCAACAAGAAATCGCCCTTTCTCGGGGCAACAAGAAATCAGCCTTACACTGGGCTATAAGAAATCGGCCTTACACTGGGCTATAAGAAATCGGCCTTACACTGGGCTATAAGAAATAGGCCTTACACGGGCTATAATAAATCGGCCTTACACTGGGCAACAAGAAGTCAGCCTTACACTGGGCTATAAAAATCGGCCTTACACTTGGCTATAAGAAATCTGACTTACACTGGGCCACAAGAAATCAGCCTTACACTGAGCAACAAGAAATCGGCCTTCCATTGGGCAACAAGAAATCAGCCTTCCACTGGGCCTTACACTATGCAACAAGAAATCCGTCTTTCACTGGGCAACAAGAAATCGCCCTTTCACGGGGCAACAAGAAATCGGCCTTACACTGGTCAACAAGAAATCGGCCTTACACTGGGCCAAAAAAATCAGCCTTACACTGGGCCACAAGAAATCAGCCTTACACTATGCAACAAGAAATCGGACTTACACTGTGCAACAAGAAATCGCCCTTTCACTGGTCAACAAGAAATCGGCCTACACTGGGCAACAAGAAATCAGCCTTACACTGGGCTATAAGAAATCGGCCTTACACTTGGCTATAAGAAATCGGCCTCACACTGGGCAATTAGAAATCGGTCTTACACTGGGCAACAAGAAATCGGCCTTACACTGGTCTATAAGAAATTGG